GAACTGTACTGCCATTAAATCCATTCGTGAGTCCAGGGGGAGAGTGTTTACTTCCTTTAGGAGGTTGAGGACCTTCGTCCACCTTGGGACATCCAGAATGATCCTGGCAGCTGCATTTTGAACCGTCTCCATTTTTTCTCTTAATTTTGGCTTTGTGGCAGTCAGGGCGACAGAAGCATAGTCCACAATAGATAGAAAACTATCGTTCGAAAATTATGTTTAACATTCTCGCACAAACAACAAAACTTTTTGAAATATAGTTGTTAACACTAAGAAAACGTTGGTACCCCTGCTTTTCCAATTACTTTTGTTAAATCATGAATCAAGAAGCCATAAATTCGCAGGTAACTTATAATATGGCATAATAGTTTGTTACTAAACAATTACCCTTGTTATACATTATTTTTTAAAGTCGGGTCAATCGTCATAATACGAAAGAAGACATGTGTTAGGTATTGCCAGACAGGTGCCACTCTCACGTTCTATTGTTATTATGTGACCTCATGACTATTAACATATTTCATTAAAGACAATACAAGGGAAATAAGTTACTGATAGTATATTCAAGTTTAATATTTGTGTTCCTAACCCCTGCGGCCAAAACAGTTCAAGCGTCAAAACATAGACGCCACTAACTTGGCTGTCAACGCAAGCCATCCTCACAGCATAGACGTTCCTGTACTTGCAAGGCATTATTCACGACTGCAGCACGATTACGAGTGTGGTCTTGATACATGTATTTTGACATGGCTGCCCACACGTTTTCAATTGGGTTAAGATCCGGAGATCTGGATGGATACGACAGAAGCGCGATGTCGGGATGTTCACGAAACCAATATTGGACAACGCGGCTAGTATGGATGGGGCTGTTGTCCTGAATAAGATAGAAGGGATCCGTTTCAAACACCTTAACCCTAACTGTTGGAAGGAAAACCTCCTCAAGGATTTCTACATATCTGCTTCAAGTAAATCAGCCAGGGCCGTCATCTGTCAATTCCCCGACAACACTTGCGTGCATCCACCCAAACCCTTTGGTTTGGGTGGATGGGCTCTTTGGCATAGATGACCTGGCTGGTGTATGTTGAGGATACAGGACATTAGGCTGTTAAAAAGGGCTGGACTGAAGGCCCCACCCTGTGGGGCTCCATTTTCTAGTAGCATATGCTGTAATAAGTGACCTTGAAATCTGACTTTGTCTGATCTGTTCCTGAAATAGTCACCTATCCAGGCCAGGAGCTTTCCCCTGATTCCCTTCTGGATCAGGGTCTCCTGAATAGCAAGAGGACTTGCTAATTCAAAAGTCTTCTCCAGGTCTAGGAATACTACCACGGATCTGACAGTACTAGTTGTGCTTAAGAGCACTTCCACATTTTCACTCTGTAGGCCAAGGCATTCTGAAAGGCTTGTGAGTTGGCCTTGTCTGTTGGCACTAGGGCTGGGCCAACATCCATGAGGGTAGTATGCCATAGTGATCACCTGTGACAGTCTTATTGACACACCATCCGATTTTCTCCACCAAAGCTGCAGTGGTCAAAGTGAGGATTGTCTGAAGCACACTGGCTTTGTAATAGCTTGCCGCATCCGGTCCCCTGCAGGGAGCCAGGATGGAGTGGTGTGCATTGAAGTCTCCCCCTATGATCACTCGGTCTTGTGCTGCAGTAGCACAGGCCTGACTGATGTCTAAGCTCCTACAACTTGGCCTGCTGTACGCATTGTACAGCTTGAGGGGGCCCCCGCCAGGTGAATCTCAACAGCATGATATTCAATATCGTCTCCACAGTGCGGTACATCGGTTATTGCGTAGTAGGGGATTGTTGCTCCGGCTAGGATGATCAAGCCTCCTTTGCCAGCTTTGCTTGGCAGCATGAATACGTGATACCCTCAGAAGCGGACAGTCTCCTCTGTTACTATCTACTGGAGCATGACAATGCTCCACTGCAATATGCTTAGATTGTGTGTCATGATGTTACTTGGCGTTAGTTACATCTGAGACGTCTTTGTATTCGGATTCAGAGTTAGTATCCCTATCAATGGTGGTGCCTGACATGTCGGAGTCTGACAACGCCGGTGCTGTGTGCTTTGCTACAGATACCACATTTGGGCTTGGCCTTGCAGCTAGCCTGGTGGTGGCCGTATTTTTAGCACTTAAAGCACCGAAGTGGCTCAGGCACATAAGTTCTGAGGTTGTAAGCGGCCCAGTTACCCAGATCAAGGGTAGTGATTGGGGCTCCTTTCAGGATCACCAGGACTTGCCTGGTTGGGGTCTTCCCTGTGTTTCAGAGTCTGTCTAAGTCGTTTCAGACTGCCTTTTCGGCTTGGGTTTTGGGCTCTGGTCGTGGGAGCAGTTGCTGATTTGGCTGGTTCAGCTTGTACTCCCATCTCAGCCAGGGAGGACCTCTGAAGGGAACTCAGACGCCTCCCTCCCTGGCTTGAATGCAGGCCTGGAGAGGCCACCACGAGAGTCCATCTGCTGGACAATTTGATGGACAGACATGTTTGT